CATTAATTTGTTTACATGACTGTATTTGACACTACCGAAATATCAGAAAATTCCTGTTGGTACTAACTCTAATAATATAACCATTTAAGTCATTACCGCCCGGCAGACACGCAACAAGCTTAGCGGCAAAGGATTCGCAATATTAGAACTTACTTTTACTCACATAGTATATATAATATTATTAAAATTGCCCGAAATGCTATTAGCGCTCAAGGTAGTACCTGCTACTTGCATTTGTCCAAAATCTATAGAAATCAAATTTCAAGTTGATCGCATCTCTCAAATTTTTGTATTTCAAACTTTCGTCAACAATAAATTTTCTTTATTTTAGTACTTGATTGTTTTTTAAAAGCTCAAAGTTTGCAATACTGGCATTTTCTGTCCAATTTATTATGCACATGATCGATCATTCAACTCAAGTATTTTTATTCGAGAGCTACTCTCACATTATGATGGTTTATTGAAGTGTTTCAATATTTCCTCTAATTGCTTTATTACTGAATCTATCAACTCCACCTTAAGCTCAAAAATAAATGATGCCAAAGCTGTCACCTAATAAATCTTTACTTACTGAATGCTTATTTATTTATTTACACACATAAACGCTTTCTGAACCTATCTATAATGGAGACGATTGACGTCCTTAGCATTAAATGGTCATCACCACTCAGTGATAGCCTTGTTGTATTTTTATGTTTATAATAATCACCTGAACAAAATACCAGAATAATAAGTAATAATCATCCAAACTAATGCATCCTACAGATAAGTTACTTACATGCCTTGCATGTTCGTAAGTATACGTCAGTCCCAGGATAGCATGCTAGTCTCTTCTATATACGAGCCTTGTCTCAGTGAAGATTGCCCAACTATACTATAACTATCTAAAACTGTAATGACTCATCGATGTTCACGTGAACATCACTTAACTACCAGTAGTCGGCTGTTCATAGGCGGGGTATGAATGTTTAACATGGGTGAACTAGATTTGTCACATGCTTAATAAAGAGTGGTTTGAAACATATTGTAAGTCAAAAATTTGGGAATTACCTTTATTCATCGTCGCTTCCACTTACATCTGACAGTAATAAACTGTCGCTATCGCTTTCCTCGTTGAAATTGACTATAACTGGCTCTATGATGGTGTCGATGTGGTGGTCAAGCTGCCACATTTTTGTTTCTTCCTTCACAACATGACGGATAGCATTCTGCCAAGCTTCGGGCGTTAATAGCTGTATGGAAGTCTCAAGTAAAACCTTAACGTCTGGTAATTTGAAGGTTGTGTTATGGCGCGCAATATAACCCTTCACTTGAGCCCAGATGAGCTCTATTGGGTTCAGTTCACAGTGGTAGGGCGGTAACCGCAGCACAGTGACACCACATTGACGGGCCATCTCATCAGTCACGTAACTAATGTTCGCAGGTTTGTGCTGTTCAATTTTTTCATACAATTCCGCTTTCACACATGAATCGTCAAACGGGATTCCTTTTTCGCGCAACCATTGCTGCATGTCACTTTTTCGAGATCCCATAGTCGGTACACGTTCGGCTCGACGATTATGGTAGGAAGCATTATCCATGACGATCACAGAGTTGGGCTCAACTTGCTGAAGCACCCCTTGAAACCAGCTCTCGAAGCAGCTGGCATTCATTTCGGTAATCACCTCCTTTCTTAGAGACGAAAATCAAGTCACACTCTTCTAAAAAGCCACTATCGCTACCAATATGAGTTACGATCAATCTTTGACCTTTCCCTGACAGTCCACGAAGACCTGTTGACAAACCTTCAATGCTTGCTTGTCGGTTACTCACTACGTTTTTGTCTATCCAGGTTTTTTTAACTGTGTGACCTGCATTTACCCATGTCTCGTCCAAATAATAGATTTTTCTGCTTTGTCGCCTATATTCAATCATTTCGCGTAGGTATTTTCGACGCCAGGCGACTATTTCAGGTCTCTCTATCAATACTGACTTCCGATTACGCGTTTCGTAACGAAAATTAATTTCGTGCAGGAATTTCCTCATTACCTCGACGCTCATTTGGGGTATAATTTCATTTTCCTTGATCGCTGCATGTACAGCCTTGAGGGTTGGTATCTCATTCCTAAAGAAGAATGAATGTACGGTTCGCCTTAACGCCATTTTGCTATCGTCATCCAATTTAACGGAATTTCGTCCCTTCAAATTAAACTTTGGATCAGTAGTAGCTCCAGATTTCTTCTTTTCATGCACCACTCTGCGAATGGTCCACTCTGGAACGCCTGTCATACTTTCACAACGCGCGAGTGTATCTCCCTGCGACATAGTTCTGTTCAGATAATTGAACACGTTGAGCACGATTTCTTTCGCGTCCCTCTTCAGTGCTTTACGAAGCCGTCTACTTGTTCCCTGGCTTTCAGTACTTCCACTCGTGCCATTTGTACTCTCCATGGTTAAGTATAACCAAAACAGTAACCACAGAAACCACAACAATAACAATCACACAACAATTCTTATAAAAACACACAATATGCGATCGCTCAACGAAACACGTTCCAATGCGTTGCCGACGCCTATGAGTCTGCCGGTCGAGGCGCGTCTTTGATTTCATTGGTTCTACCGGCGGAGAACAATCAGCCATTATTTCCATCTCTGTCTGTGCTGTTGATCACCGCAAAGCCACAGAACGACATATGTCGTACGCTATACGGCTGTACTGGAAGGAAGCCGGGATCGAGCTCTGATCACGTGTTGATCACGCGTATGAGTCATTACAGTTTTAAATAGTTGTAGTATATCAATAACTACGTTTTTTACGAAATTTTTCAGATAACATTTTTATTAAATATTAGCCTAAAATACTATATTTTTTTGTAGCAAATTAAAAAAACTGCCGATTAATAAAAATCAACGAAACCAAATAGCAGCAAATCACCTCTGCGTTACATCGCCTTTACTGATATGTCTTGACATAGTGTCAACTAATGTTTGGCAGTCATCTGGTGTAAAATTGTTCCAAATTTCTTGGAGCCGGTTTCGCAATCCGGGAACGGTTCTTGCGCGATTCGATCGGAACTTTTTCTTCATATGACAAGGTTTCAATCGGCGATAGATTTGGACTACTCGACGTCCATTTTAAAACTGAAATGGTTTTTTCTAATATCCAATCTTTTACTTTTTTTAGCCATATGGCAAGCGGCACCATCATGTTTTAAGATACATTCAATATTGTTTAAACGCATTGGTTCAACTTGGGGTATTAAGTTACTTTGAAGTACATTAATGTACTTATCAGCATTCATAATACCTTCCACAAAATGCGAGTTTCCCACTCGATCCCCAAATCATAACAGAAGCCGGAAATTTAACTTTTTTTATTTTGAAACTGTATACGTCGATTTGTTAACACTGTCACTTGGGAAGCGTTTTGGCATTTTAAATGCAAGTGAATGATCATTTTTCTTATTTCTTTAGAAACAACCGCGAGCCATTTTTAATTGTTAACAACAACACCAATGCATTGAAAGTTGATTTAAACGTTAAAAATCAGCTTCTTAGCAACGTAAAATTTTATCATTTGTTTTACAACGTCTCCCTACCAAAACGCTTTAGAAAAAGCCGCGCCAGCTTTGTTATCTTTCCCTAAATATTTAAAGAAACCAGAAATATGTTTGAAATAAAATTTTAATTAGCAATTAGTCAAATAAATTTACAAATATCTTGTTTTGGGGTCGTTGGCCACCGAGACATTTTCTCTAGTTTGTGAGACATTTCACAAGAAATCGACCATATTCATTAGATCCATTACCTCAAAGAATTTGGAAATGTTCCTTTCTTAAGAAATTTTTAAACAACACTGTATTATTCAACGAAATTCAGTAAGTAGTTGGACGATTACTTGTTGGTGTTCATGAAAAACAATTAACTCATTTAGAATGCCAGGGGTGAACTATACTTAACTACTGAAATTCTGGACACATTTTTGGAAAGTCTTTGGATACAAAAAATAATGTATTATTTGATATCAACTTTGAGAGAAAAAGTGTGTCTTAAATCTAATACTTAATCAAGTGATATAAAGATTTAAATCCAGGATTTTGGGACTCTAAATACGAATCTGTTATTAAAATTACTATGTTTCCAAAATGGTTTAATTATACTGGATCCAGTGCCAAAATTAATACAAGTTTTTTTTTCTCAAAACCCGTCGGTTCATTTCATAGATGTCAAACAAGAGTACATTTTTTTCATTTCAGGGAACAGGCTTTCCTAAAATGTTATCATTGTACAATTATGATACAGGGTATACATATTTTTATCAATATTGTGAGACTCTGACTAGTTACTAAGCTGTCAAAATTTCGTTGAACTATACAGGGTGTTCCAAATTTGACCCTCGTCATCTGGGAAACGATTAGGGATACGAAGCCGCTTAAATGGGGGTAAAGATGCGTATTTAGGTAACTAATAAACTGCCTCTTGGAAATTCGAAGTACTTCCCTAGAGAGACAGAGAAAACTGAATTTTCTCGAAATAGTTTATTTTTTTCCAGACTTTATTTGTAGTGGGCACATTAATATTGCCAATTTTTCTCCTCTACAAGATGGCACAATTGGAATTTCAAAATGACGTTTCGTCTCTTATCCTCACCACTATTTTTTCTTATGGACGCCATATTGGATTTTTGCACAGACGAATAAAGTTTTTAATTTGAATCCAAAAAGGAATACGTCATGCATTGACATTGCCAGACCTTTTGTGTTCAGGTTTCACCATATACCTTCTTATCTCTTTATAAGCAGTATCTTTGTAGGGGAGAATATTTTTTTATAAGAATTTATGGCATTGTTTCTTCTTGTTCTGTGTACATACGAGAGGTTGACATATTATTATGGGACACCCTGTATACATCTATGTTTATGTATCTAAAACGCGTGTCATAGTAAAAGGAAATTTTAATTTTATGAAAGATGATGTTTTGTAACGTATTACAGACATTCAAATACTTTTATTTGTTTCAGACTTTGGATTATGATAGAGATGGGTTAACTAAAATGAAAAAAGCGATCAAGGCGATCCACACTTCTGGGAACTGTAAGTAAATATTTCATATAGTTTTCACTCTATTTTTGATGCATGAATATTGATTCTATTTCTTAGCAGTACACTTTAAATCTGTTCATTTTACTGTTGGTTGGCTTAAAAATAGTCAGAGTAAATTGAACGACTCTTCCTATCCTATTCCCTTGATATAAGATGTGAACTAATAGGATTTCACATTGCACTGAATATGGCATGAGTGCATCTCGGAGGAAACCCTTACCCTTATACACCCTCGAGAATGAGATATCCTTATTGGATATTGATTTCAGTACCCCGCCGGAATATATTCCCATAGAGCATCGAGTAGAATGCTTCACTAGTTTTGAAATCGCGATATATACAAATTCTGAACGTCTCAATTGTTTTTGAAACTTCGCTTCAATAACCTGTCGATTCGAGAAACGTTAAGGTATAAGGAAATCTTTGAGGAAAATACATTATTTCAAATTCTTTCGCGACTATAATACTTTCGTCGGTTAGATAGCATTCCGGAACATTTTAACTTATCTCGAAATATCCAATAAATATACAGGGTGTTCCTTAATGATATGCGAATATTTAAGGGTGTGAATCTACATGAAAAATTAGTGTTAATTTGCTTTATAAATGGTCCTAAAATGTTTCCTTACAAAAACTCGGAGTGTTGAAGTTTTAGGAAAAAAAACGGAAATTAATTAATATTTTCAGAACCGCTTCAGGTATTTCACTGATCTTTAGTACATAGTTAATAAAGCTGCATATTTTTCAATGCAAAAATAATTTTTAGCTTTAACAGTGGCGTGCGTACGGGTATTGACTTCGATATTTTTTAAGAAAAAAATGGTACGCCAATTGTTTTTGTGCCAAATAAAAATATTTTTGAATTCCCTGTTCAATTTAAAACGAATGATCTCTCTTAAGTTGCTTTCCTTCGATGCGCCATTTTTGAGTAAAAAAAACCGTTCTATTGTCCGAGAAAATTAATAAATAAATTAAATTGAAGAATGCAATTTAGCAATAAATATCTAGTTGCTCTGGAATGTCACTGGCTTTTGACAACTGACAAGTCTCTGTTAGTCAAATCTGTTCGCTGTGACATCTTTTTCATTATTTAGTTTTTACAATCTGGTTAATAATTGTGAATTATTCAAATGCAGAAATGGCGGAAATGCATTACGTATATGGCCTTGCCGACGGTAATGGTGAGCAAGCCAGACGTATTTATCACCAGAGATATCCCGATCGTGCTTTACCAGATAGTCGAACCTTTTCTAATATTCATCGTCGTCTTGTTGAAACCGGTTCTGTCCAAGTAGAAGAACATCCTGAAACGAGTACGAGGAAGATCGCTAGACACTGAAATATTTGCCTTCAAATTGTTTGGAGAATTTTAGTGGATTTTTCATTATATCCTAATTTTTCTCGAAATGCCGTTCAGAATTTCCACAATAATCATTTGCGGGCAGAAGAAAATCCCTATGCAGTAACCGAAACCCAAATGCAATACCAATTTTCGGTTAACGTATGGGCAGCAATCATTGGCAACCACTTTATTGGCCCATTCTTCTTGCCGGGACGACTTGACGGACAGACTTATCTCAATTTTCTTCAACAGCAGTTGCCTTTGCTGCTTGATGGTGTTCCGTTAGTAATAAGAAACAATATGTGGTAAATGCATGATGGTGCACCAGCGCATTTCACTGTAGTGGTTCATAATTATTTACAAACTGCTTATCCAAATCGTTGGATTGGCCGCGGTGGGCCCCAAGAATGGCCACCAAGGTCCCCAGACCTCAACAGTTTAGATTTCTTTTAGTGGGGCTATCTTAAGACACTAGTGTACAGAAGTCCCATTAACACTGTCGAGGAATTAAGAGAAAGAATAGTTGCAGCTTGTGATAGAATAAAAAACACTCCAGGGATATTTCAAATAGTGCGCAATTCCATGAGAAGGAGGGCGGAAGCATGCATACTAAGTGCAGGGGACCATTTTCAACAATTTTGGTTTTAATCTTACGTTTATGTTGTCAGTTGTTGTTGTTCATTACCCCTAATGTATTTAATTTTTCCAATTAAATTAATAATAATTTTGCAAGTTAGACAATAGAACGGTTTTTATTTTTTTAAACAAAAAATGGCGCATCGAAGGAAAACAACTCAAGAGAGATGATTTGTTTTAAATTGAACGGGAAAATCAAAAATAATTTTTATTTGTCAAAAACCCATTGGCGTACCATTTTTTTCTTAAAAATATCGTCAATACACGTACGTACGTCACTGTTAAAGCTCTAAAAATTATTTTTGCCTTGAAAAATATGCAACTTTATTAACTTTCACTACGTACTAAATATCAGTGAAATATCTGAAGCGGTTCTGAAAATATTAATTAATTTCCATTTTTTTCCTTAAACTTCAACACCCCGAGTTTTTTTAAGGAATCATTTTTGGACCATAGTTCACAAACAAACTAACATCAATTTTTCATGTAGATTCATTTCCTTAAATATTAGCATATCATTAAGGTACACTTTGTATAAATATAATATTAATATAAATATTCCAAAATTGTCAAAAAGAATCATTATTCATTTGATTTCAGCTTGTTTTCAGTTGTTCGCAAAACTAGAGAGCAAGCCTGAATATATTATTTAATCGCCTTGAAGGCCTTTATCCACTGTACCGTATCGTATTAAAATTATACAGGGTCGTATCCAACAAAATAGGTAGCAGCGAATCAGCCGCGTCCTGTACTAATCTTTTCCATTAAAAAAAATAAACTATGGTATATGAGTTAAAATTGGTACGCCTCATATAATTTTGAGTACCTTCAAAATGTGTTCTCAGATACCATGTTAAGTAACCTATGAATGGTTTCCATTGAAATGTTTCTGTTTATATGTGAAATATGTCTAATAGTTGCCTACAATTACCGAGCTTACGAGTGTTCAAATATATGCATTAACGCCGAAAAATTGAGATGTACCCTCTCCACCTTCTGCAACGTCTCACCTTTATTTTTTACCCCTCAAACAAATTTCCAAAAGTGATCAGATCATAGTCGCTGAAAAGTAAAAAAACGAAGTTATATTTCAGTAGTTAATTTTACACGTTCTACTTCCTACGCCTATTGGCAGGGAAAATTTTTGAAAATGAAATATTGTTTTTTGGATGTACGTCACTCATTTCCGCCGGTTTGTCTGTCTGTCCGCTAATCTTATAACCGCCTATAACATGAAAGTACTGCTCCGATTTCGATGAAAATTTTACACAATGTTGCTACTGTGACAGGGACGCAAATTTTTTTGAAAATCGGTCCAGTGGCGAAAGGCCAAAAGCAAAAAAGTAACAATCGCTCAAACTTCTTTTTTTAACGTTACAGACGATCCTGATCATTTTCGCATTTTTTTTTGTAGAGGTTAACAATTGGAGGTAAGGGGTTGCAATGATATACAGTAATGGACAAAAGTATATAGACAAATATGAATATATACCTAAATACCTTCAGGAAACGAATTCATACTTCATTGCTCCATAAACAAATGCGTTTTTAGTAGAAAAACTAAATTCCTTGTTTTTACATTATCTGCAATGAATACAATACAAGTTTGAATATAAGCACTTTTTATGAGGGACAAAAATATGTAGACAAATTCTTTTCAACATTAGCTTAGTACAGTTTCGTGTCAGAAGAGGATTAGTTTGTGTTCATCAAGTACCTAGGTTTGGTTTTGGGTTTGGTTCGGTTTTGGGTTTGGTTAGGTTTTGGGTTTGGTTAGGTTTTGGGTTTGGTTAGGTTTTGGTTTGGTTAGGTTTTAGTTTGGTAAAGGTAAAGGAAGGCTGGCTAAAAACCTACTATAAACATATGCGTGGATTGAGTTTTTAGTTAGAGAAGGTGATATCCTACCTTTTCCTCGAGTTTTACAGATAATACATCATTATTTTGACAACAGAACTGAAAAGAATGCAAAAGAGAACATATACTAAGTGACATATAAATCCGAACACCCAGTTTAAATGGTTTTCTTTTAATAAAATTTTGTATAAGTACTTAATGAAGCATAATAAGTAAATGATAAAAATTTCAAAATGATTGCACTGCTTTAAAGCCCTTTGACCTTTAATAATGTGTGGATGCACCCTGATGTGCTACGCATTCTCCAACGCGCCTAGGCATGCTTCTGATCAGGTGGTCAATGTCCTCCTGTGGTATATCATTCCAGGCAACCACCAACTCCTCTCGAAGTGCTTCTAGAGTCTGAGGAGGACATTGCAAATTGAGCAATCTCCTACCCATCATATCCCACACGTGCTCAATTGGGGATAAGTCGGGAGATCTTGGTGGCCATGGTAACAATGTGACATCATTATGTTGAAAGAAGTCTATTGTGACTCTTGCAACATGTGGTCGGGCATTATCTTGTTGGAAAGTTGGATCTGCCAGGGTGTCAAGATAGGGTAAAAGATGGGGTTCTAGAACTTCGTGGATATAACGCTGCGCGTTCATGTTACCTCTGATGAAGATTAAAGGTGACCTGGAACCATAAGCTATAGCACCCCAAACCATAACTCCAACAGTGTGATGAACATGTCTTTCAACAAAAAACTGTGGATTCCTCCTTTCACCATGTCGCCTTCTAACCCGGGCACGACGATCGTGCATGCCTAAACAAAATCGAGGCTCGTCACTAAAGACAATACTGTTCCATTCCTGATCCCAGAGTGACCGTTGTCTGCACCACTCAAGGCGATTACGTCGGTGTTCTCGAGTTAAAGGGAGGACCCAGTGTGGCCGGTATGAAAACAAGCCAAAACTTCTCATTCGTCGGTAAACACTTCGCATGCCAATAAGTCTTCCGTGTTCTGCAAACCATTCATTTGCAATGGACCTGGTAGTGGAGAAACGGTCCCTTAAGGGCAATAATCTTAGGCGGCGATCTTCACGGTCTGTTGTTCTACGGCGGCGTCCAGTGCCCCTTGCTCTTTGCGTACGGCCTTCTCGAAGCCATGCCTAA